CTGGGATCGAGTCCCACATCGGGCTCCTTGCTCGGCAGGGAGCCTGCTTCTCCCTCTGCCTGCCTCTCCCCCTGCTTGTGTTCTGTCTCTCTCTCTGACAAATAAATAAATAAAATCTTAAAAAAAAAAAAAGATAAAATGGGAATTGAAACAAATAATTAAAAAAAAAATGGTAATCGGTTTGTTACACTCAATAGGTCACCAGGTATGGAGTAGAGAAATCAGAGTGGAGGAAAATGCAGTACAAGTTACCAAAGGTCCATTAAATACGGTTCTTCCCAAGGGAGCTCTGAAGAAACTCCAAGCTGAGTCAACAAAGAAAAAGGGCAGGAGAAGCTGAGGGGCAATTGTTAGGGTAATTAATTCAACTCTGACTTCTGAAACAGCTGTGCTAGTTACCCTACTACCCCTCTCAGACAGAGGCCAGCAAGGGTGGCTTCTGCCTGTGGGACAGAACCAGAGAATGCTTTAAAGAAAAGTGGGATATATGCCTTGGAAGGGCTACCAAGGGTGACAGATCTAAAGGAAAAGCAGACTGGGGGCGCCTGGCTGGCTCAGTCAGAAGAGCATGAGACTCTTGATCTCGGGGCTGTAAGTTTGAGCCCTACGTTGGGTGTAGAGATGACTAAATAAATAAATAAATAAATAAAAACTTGAAAGAGAGAGAGAAAGAAAAAGAAAGAAAAGCAGACCAGATCAAAGTCTAACTCTGACCTCAAGAATATTTAAGAAGTAGAGTGAGGAGTTAAATTAGCAAACAGAAAGAAGTCTTCCGAGCTTTGGCAAAGGTGGAGGTCTCCAGCCTGCTCCCTCCTAGGGAAGCCTACCTGTCCACCCACCGCATAACCCTCCCACTTACAGAACACATAAACTGCTCTCCCCTTTACTAGAGGCCTGTGGGAGAAACAGGCATTCATATCTACATATCTTTAAAGCTACAGAAGAGGGACGCCTGAGTGGCTCAGTCGGTCAAGCATCTGCCTTTGGCTCAGGTCTTGATTCCTAGGGCCTGGGATTAAGCCAGCATCCGCCCCACATCTGGTTCCAGGTCCCTGCTCAGGAGGAGCCTGCTTCTCCCTCTACTTGCCACTCCTCCTGCTTGTGCTCCCTCTCTTCTGACAAATAAAGCTACAGGAAAGTAATATGGACACAAAACAAGAATAGGATTCTATCAAAAAAGGCATAGAGAACTAGAAAATGTCTAGACTTTAAAATGACTGCAAAATAGAAACAGAAAAACTCACAAAATGGAGAGGAGATAAAGACATTAAAAAATGAGAGAAGAGACACAGAGGATAGATCCACATGGCCATCTGTCTAACAGGAGTTCAAGAACATGAGAATAAGAGGGCGCCTGGGTGGCTCAGATGGTTGAGCGTCTGCCTTCGGCTCAGGTCATGATCCCAGCGTCCTGGGATCGAGTCCCGCATCAGGCTCCCTGCTCCTTGGGAGCCTGCTTCTCCCTCTGCCTCTCTCTGTCTCTCATGAATAAAATCTTAAAAAAAAAAAAAAAGAACATGAGAATAAGATATGACAGAGTTGACAAAATTATCCAAAAGATTTTTATTAATGGGCATGTGTTACTCCTGTAATTTTCTAAAAACTTAATTTAAAAAATCGTCATGACTTTTTTCCAAATAAAATTCAGAATGATGAACCATCTGAAAGAGAAACTAATTCCCGAATATGTCTCAGCAAAACTATTTGACCTATAAGATTTGAAAGAAACTTCTTTCAGCAGTCCCTCAATAATGGTTGATACCTATGACAGCAAAACATAAAAAGGAAATATAAAACTATTATATTCAAGGTATCTTTAAAATCTGCAAACTAATTTACTTTGTACCCTGACACAAGTTTATCTGCAGACTGGCAATGGACCTGCTCAAGGACTGGAAGCTCAAAGGGCTGG